TTGTTCTCACTGCAGACACGCCCTCGAGTCCATCATGGAGCCATTTCTACACTCGCAACCTGCGTTACGGCTCGATTGCTAGTTCCCTCGACGTCATCACGATCTGTGGGTTGCCCACATCCACACACACACACACATTCACCCCCTTTGTCATATTTCATCGTCGTGGCGAACGATCGTGTATCCTCTATAGAAATGTGCCAATTACTTCTTCTTGGCCTTCTCGACAGTCTTCTCGTCTTCGTCGGCAGCGTGCTGTTGGGCAAACTGCTCAATGCACGAAATCGCAAAGTACGCCATGAACGCCACCATGATGAACCCGCCGGCCTGCGAGATGAGAGAGCTGCTGTCGGCCGCGGCGCCTTCCGCCGCGTGGTCGACCTTGGCCTTGTCAGCCACAGCGTGAAACTTGTGGCGGCACTCGAGCAGGAACTGGGCGACCTTTTGATCGAGCTCCCACGACTCGGGGGTGATGGCCGCAATGAACTTTTCGATCTCCGTAAGCGTGGCGTCGGTGAAGATGGTGACGAAGAACATCGCTTGCAAGTTGGCCTTGATCAGCGCCTTCCCGATCAACGTCGCGCCGAAGAACGTCCAGAACGGCATTTGAAAATGGCCGCAGCAGATCCCGCACAAGTCGAACGCCATGTTCGGCCACGCGCTCATGAGCAGCACGCCAAAGAATCCATGGCGTTGCAAAAACGAGATCATCCACTCCTTCATGTGGTTCAGCGCGTTGTACTCGGAAGACGACGTCTGAATGTCCTCAAACTCTTCGTTGCGCTTCCCGGCCACACTCGCCGCGTACGACAGCGCGTACGGCGGAATCTCGCCCAACGCGGTCCCTGCACCCCACAGCATCGACGCGACTGCGACCTTGGTGAACATCGAGACGAATGTCACGTCCGCGCCGGTCGACGACCCGCAGTTCGTCTCGAATGAACGGAACCACGTGTGGTGGCGCGTGTCGAAGTCGGTCGACTTGCAAAATTCAGCGCCTTGCACGACCAGAAAGATGTGCGGGAACAGGAACAGAATGCCAGAGTGCATGCCGGTGCCGAGGCCAACGCTAGACAGCACGCCGAGGCCTACCCACCACACAACGTACTCGACATTCGTGTTGAACTCGTCCAAGTACACGTGGTGTTCGCCCGGTGTGTTGGAGAGGCCGATCCACAGCAACACGAGCGGCAGCGCCAGGAACAGTGTCAGGGGGTGCGTTGCAAGCGCCACGATCGCCCATCGAACGAAATCCTTGAGCACGATGGAAAAGTGGTACAGCACCGACAGCGGGCGTCGAAATAACGTCAGTTTCTGTCGCTCGGCACGCAGCGTCTTTTCGAGCTCCGCCACACTGTCGTCGGCCTTGGATGGAAGCGGTGCTGGCGCCGTCGCAGAGCTAGCGTTCGTCGCCGCCTTCTTTGCCATGTTCCCCAGCAAATGCGGTAATGTTGTGGTGGAACGAGGGGTCGATTATTTTAGCCAATGAAATGTTCAGAACGACCACTTTCTACCAATCACATCTCGACACCAGCGGTTTTACTCAACAACCAACATTCCCGATATCTCCTATCCTGTGTACTCTACAGAAGCCTCGGAATGTACGTCACTCGGCACTCCCCGGGATTGTTCAGTCGGCGCTGCGAGCGGCGGGAGCGTTGGCGCTGGACATGGACTTGTGGGCAGGGCCAGCAACATGCAGGCGCAATGAAGTGTGCGCCACAATCACTATGTCATCGCGGCTATTGGTGCTAATGACCTTGGTCGACAGTGAGCCCAGTGTGAATTGCACGTAGCTCCGAAGCTCTTGCGACTCAACTGCGCTGCATGGACTAGCATCGTGCTCCAAGCCGTGCGCGAAAGGTGCAGGAGCTGTAGTTGATCAAGGTGGCGGATCGATGGGTCCGCAACGGCCAGCGTTCCAGAGTTCTATTCATGGTCATCTCCAAAGCTTCTACTAACGGCGGCATGTGTCGGGCTTTTGTGGTTGGGGCTCTTGGACCATGTGTGTTTGAGCTCGCGGAGGTTGTCGCCTTGGGTTTTCGGGGATTCTAGAAGGGGCGCGACCGTGGCTTCCGATGGTTTCGTTGGGGACAACGTGGGGCTCGAGCTGGTCTTGGAGCTTTGAAATGACAGGTTGAGTCGGAGGGTTGCTTTGAGCGCGGTTGCTTTGTTCGGGGACGAAGGTGGAAGATGCAGCGGCGACGTGGAACCAGGGACGACCCTCGTGGGCAGCGTCATGGTCTGTTTGATAGCGGATCTACCAGGCACGATGATGTTGGCAGTGACGGGGGTGGAAGCTTTGACCATGCTGAGGGCCATCGATTTGGCTTTGGCAGGAGATGACTCGTGCAAGACGGTGGGAGCAAGCACTTTGTGCCCACTTGTCGACTCAGTGTCGTGAGCTACGGTTTTGTAGCTCCACATGCGAGCTTCGATCGCTTCCATGAACTGCTGCTGAGGGCCGATGACGCTGCCCGCTCGACACAACCGGAGCCACCCAATGCACTCTTTCGCGGTAAAGTGGAAGTGCTTCATCAGGTACGCTCCAATACACGTTCCCGTACGCCCAAGACCTGCTTTGCAATGCACCGCGACGGCTCCGGGCGTGGCCTCACACGCGGCAAGAAATCGGTCGAGGATGTCGTTCGGGGGGTTGGCGCCGTCAGGGTAGTACAGATCCAGGTGGTCGATGCCCGCGGCTTTGAACCGCGACTCGTCGTACAGGCTCTCGTTGAGCCGAATGACGAGCGTGACGTGCTTCGATTTAAAGTACGGGACGTAGTGCTCGGGTGTGAGCGAGATGTAGCCTTCTGCCGTGTGCCGGTACACGTCGTGGGGGCCAGCAAACGCAATGAACTTGGGGGAAAGCCAGTTGAGATCGCCGTTCTCGACTTGCTCGTAGTGCTGGTACTCGTCCACGCAAAACGTAGCTGTGTCGAGAAACCGGTGTCGCAGCGCCTTCTCGAGCCCACAGAGGCAATCCAGCACCGTGAGTTTGAACACGCACATGGTCGGTGTGGCGTCGTGGAACGGGGGCAGCGTGTGCAGCATCTTTTGGAACGGCGCGATCGCGTCGGCGGCCGTCATGTGGTTGTACAGGATGCCCCAGCACGCCAGGATGCATATCGCGTTCGCCTTGCGCTTGCCGTCCGTGGACGAGTAGAACACGAGCTTCTTTCCCAACGGTTTGACGCGACTCAGTTCGTCGTTGAGCACTTGGCTAAACAAGAACGTGTGGCCCAGGTTGAGCGGTCCAAAGTCCAGGTAAAAGTTTGTGTACAGGAGCTGCCGGTCAATACTAAAGTACAGGACGTCGGACGTGGACCTGGGCGTCGCGCCTTCCGAAAACGACGTGTAGTACACGACCCGCGGGACGAACTCGATCACGCTGTCCATCGGACGAGTGTGTTCGTGGGCAGACGAGTGGGGACGGTCGCGAAATGCACAATGGCCGACCATTGCAGGCCGATCGCCACGTCAGTTAGCGCCTGCACGAAACCCCCCACCAAGGAATTGCAAGGGCCGCCTATTTTTAGTGCTCGCGAACGTTGAACGCGCCTCGTGGTTAGGAAGTTGAACGCCCCAACTTGGAACGACAGAACGGCCCAACTTATTTTGGCGGTGCGTCCGTCGGGGCGCGCTGGACGGAGACATGAGACGGCGTAAAGATCGATTGGGCTGCGATGGCCAAATCCAGCCGCGATCCCACGCCGTCGGGGTGTGTGCACTGGCTGGGGGAGTCTTGCCTCGGTGAGCTACCTTGTTTGACCTGTGCATGGCCAAGGCCAAGGAGACTCCGACAAGTCAGAGCTGCATGGGGAAAACAATGGGTGTCGCTGCCGCAACGAATGTGGGACACTGTGTTGGAAGGATGACGCGTTCGATAGTATAAGGACACGACTTTGTTGTGCCAGGCTAGCCGGACTGGTCAGGAGGTAGGCGTAGTGGCCAGACGGCGTACCATTGATGCTGTTCTGGTTGGCAAGGCGGTCGTGGGCGGCGATGGTCCAAACGGCTAGGAGGGCCAGCAATGCACCGGTGGCGACGAAACCAGTACAAAAGAAGACGCAAACGGCGGGCGCAAGGTCCGTCGCCGGACGAGAGCGTCGGACACCATCGGGATGAGAATTTGATCAGACCTAGAATGCCTGCGCAAGGGATCCCGTTGATGGACACGAGCGTGGCGCTGGTTTGGACGGACTTCGTGGTCGCCATCGCTGACATTCGAGACAAAATGACCACACTCAGCGATAGGTTGCCCCGCAGTGTCACGTGGATGCAGGCGAAATCCGCCGACACATCAACTTGTCAACTAGAGTCGCGGCTACGATGCGCTTGAGCCACAATCGCTGATCGGTCGCGCTGGTGTCGTCCGGGGCAGGTAAAAGAACGTCGTTTGTCCTTTGAAAGTGGAGGCTTGGGGCGTTGTCACAGTGTCTACGCAACTCCATCGCTCGTGTCCAAGAGTCGTCCAGGGCAGCATCGATGTCCGCCAACCCTCTGTGCATGTTGAGCCTCCCAACGGAATAGCCGGGCGTGCACAGCAAGACGGCATCGCAATGCATTGGCAAAGGATGTAGCCCAGCGCAAGTTAGGAGGCAAGAGGCCCAACTCGTCGATCGTTGACTAGTACAGTTGGCTCCAAAGGAGCGGCTTGACGCCGAAACCACCAACTGTACAACATGAGGCAATCCCGCGCACAACTGGGAGTCACGTGATAAAGGGTAAAGGCTGACGAGGGTTGACATAGTTGAAGCGGATGCCCCAGTCAGCAATGGCGCCGTACACCACGTACACGCCTACGATCCCATGACGATCTTGGCAATGACCCACAGGTACATTAGCAATTGTTCGGCACCTACAGATATCGAGGAAGGAGGTGTGCTGTGTACTTCACCAGGGAATGCCAACCCCCCCTTGACATGTGCCCTCCACGAAATGGTTGGCCGCATAGCCCCGCGTACTCGACGCGACGAGTTCGATCCACCAACAAGTAGTCGCGAAGGGAGTGGGTTGCCAATTCAAATTGCTGTGAACCCAAACTTTGTTCTAGTTCGTACGTTATGCCACGTCATCCATGAATACTTTGTCCCGGGCGCCCGCGTGGATGAAAGGCGGGGGATCGCCCAACACACGTAGCGCTATTCGCTTGGCGTTCCGAGACAAACGAAGGGCGCAGAAGACGCTGATGCAAGTCAGTCACGCGGGTTTCCAACTGTGCACACGGTCGTGCGCTACACAACGACCATGTTTTCATTCTTTCGTACAGTTCTTTTGTGGATCGACTCTGATTACGGCTCCTGACGGACTCGGTTCGTTCAAAAGGCACATCGTTTGAGCAATCGTTGGTCATCTTTCGTCGAGAGGGGTTTCCACGAAATGATGTACATATGGGGAAAGGTTGCTTGATTTCGTGGCTCATGCGGCAGGTCCCGTGCCTGAACCTCTAGGCTGCGCCGTCTAACTTGCCACCGCTTCTCCAGGCGACCTCTGCGATCGCCTGGTCGTCGCTTTCCGTCACGTCGATGCCCCGTCGACCACGCTGCAGGGACTTGGCGGTGAGAATCGTTCGTCGTGTCCATGCCAATTCGTGTATCGCTATCGTTGTTCTCTGTCGTGGGTTGCGAGCGTGTTCTGCGGACACCCGTGTCCCTGTACTGGATGAAGTGGTTTGCAACGATCAAGCCGTGAAGGCGCATGCACGTGCGTTCGTCCAGGCCCTGGGTCTCTTAAGGTTGAATGTAGTGCGTGTAGGGGGCGCCTGGGAGCGGAAGGAAGAGCAGCGAGAAAGGCCGAGTAGCTCGGATCGCGGCGCCATTCGTAGAGTTTGGTGAGGTATTTGACCCGGGTGAGGGATGCGGTGGGGAATTAGGATGCCGCAACGGTGGGTTTGTCGCATCGGCCAGTCGCAGGAACAGCGTACAGAATTGTGCCGTGAACGTCAGTAGAGTTCGAGCGCCGACCTGCAGCACCCGTCGCTCTGCCAAGCCACCGCTGGAATGCCGTGGCCGCTCAAGCAAACCAAGGCAGACATGCCCACCGTCCATCGACGCCAAGACGAGTTGGTGCAAACGGGGGTCGATACACTCGACGCCATCTTGGCCAGAGACAGTGGCCAAGACGGCACGGTGTGGACGGCTGGAACGACGTTGCGCCGTCGCCAGGAGAGCTCCAGTGTGATGTTTTGGAAGGGACATGTCCCGGGTTATACCGTCGATGCCGTCAAGGCGACGTGCTACGTGGGATGCTCCGCCGTCCAGCTCGCCAACAAACTGAAAGACCCGACACGTCTGCGCGAGTACGACGCCACGATCTTTGGATGCCGTATCGTCGAAGAAGTCGATGTACCGTCCTTTACAACGATTCAGTTCTGGCAAGGCGTCCCGTTGTTCCCAGCCACGGCGCGTGAGTTTTGTGTCCTGACGGCGGAGCGCAGACTGCCGGGTAGCCAGGAAATCGTGCTGGCTGCTCGATCCATCGAGCACGAGTCCGTCCCGCATAATGCAGCGTACATTCGAGGCGAAATGTACTTGACTGGGTTTATCTTGCGACCGGTCGGCAAGACCTCGTGCTTTGTCACGGCCCTGCGCCACGTGAATATGTGTGGTACTGCGGCGCCGTTTGTCGGGCGCAAGGCCGACGACATGGTCGCCATCGCAATGAACCTGCAGCGTTTGTTTGGCAAGCCAACGGAACCAAACGACTTGCCAGCCACAGCCGTTGCTCCAGTCTCAAGTTTGCAACGTCCAGCGCCGCACGAACCACCGCCTGACGCGTCCACGTGCGCCAACTGCGGCAAGGACATCTTGCACGGCTTCAGTCGCCATCGCTGCATCGTATGCCATCACGTGTTATGTGGGGACTGTGCACGGCACGTCGTCAAGTCGAAGCAGTGGCAAGTTCTTCGCATGTGCAATCCTTGCGCCGCTGAAAACGTCGCCAACGATCAACGCACGCCGCCCGACAAATCGCCCGTTCGCGTTCAAAGGACGACCGAGGAAATCGCAGCGCAGCCGGCGAGTCAGGTGTCGCCAACAGCGCTGTTGGTCGTGTGTGCTGTCGCGTCGCTTGTCGTGTGGATGGAGTGGCCTGGCCATGCTTTGGTCATCTTCACAGTTGGTCTGCTTTCTCTATTTGCATCGATTGCTCACTCCCCATCCGGCTGTGCATCAAGTCGGGGCGAGCTTGTTCGTTCACGATAGAAATTATCGGGAACCGCTTTTGTACAGTGGGTCACAAAAGTCTGAATACCCTGATCAGAATCTTCTGTTTTGGTGTGTTCCGTGGGAACCTGAATGACTTTTGCTGCGTACTCGAGTGTTCTAGAATTCTTTCTGCATTGCCCATCATCCAAGGCAAGTGCATCGTGAGCTCAACGCGAATTGAACCCAATATTTGACATTGTATACATTTTGGGAAATCAAAAGTCTGCATACCCAAGAAAGAAATTGATGTATTCGAGGCAATTAGTACTTGGTTACGTCGCCGTCGTTGGCAATTACCATACTCATCCTCTTCGGCATTGTTTCCATGATGCCTCGGATGAAATCGAGTGGGATACTATCCCAAATCTTTGTGAGACTCACTTTCAGACCTTCCATGGAGGATGGGGGGCGAACTACGCACTCTACGCTTCATGTACTCCCACACATGTTCGATTGGGTTGAGGTCAGGACTTTGGGCTGGGTGCTCGAGCAGGTTAATTGCATTGTCTGCAAAAAACTTGTCGACAATCTTCGTCTTGTGGGTGGGGGCGTTGTCGTGCAAAAATTCAAAATCCACAGGCAGGTCGAGTTTCACAAAATTTTCGACAAAATTTTCTTCAACCATCGCGAGATAGTCCTTGGATTTCATCTTTCCTTCACGGAACACCAAAGATCCCGTTCCATTGTACCCAATGGCACCCCACACCATCAACGTTTGACGGCCACTCTTGAATGTGGGGACGAGGCAGTGGTCCATCAATTCTTCATGGGGCTTGCGCCACACGACCCGGAGAGGTTGAATGGACTCTCATCAGTCCATATGACCTTCTTCCAGTCGTCGATCGTGCGTTTGAGATGCGTTTTAGCATACAGCAGTCGCTTGGCCTTGATCTTCTTGGAAATGAAGGGCTTGCGTCTGGCCGCCCTTCCTGCATGCCTTCTTCTTGGATACGGCGACGAATTGTTTGGGTGGAGACGTCCTTCTCGTGGAAGACTTGAAATGTCTCCTTCAGCGACTCGGCGCTGAGTCGACGGTCCTTCTTTATGGCTCGTACGATGATTCGATCTTCATGCTCGGTAGTTGAGCGGGGGCGGCCAGAGCGTGCCTTCGGTGTGGCGATGCCCATCTTGAACTTGCGGACGACTGTCTGGACGGTACCCTTGGTCAGGCCCAGGTCCTTGCCAATTGTCTTGTACCCCGCACCGTCCAGATGCTTGGAAATGATCAAGTTTCGCATGTCTTGGTGGAGCTCCTTGTTCTTGGACTCTTGGGGCCGCTTGGCGGCGATGTGTGCCATGATGGGCTCGTCGAAAGGTGCAAGGCAGTAGACAGAGAATTGATAAGTGCTGTGTATGATATGGTTAGCCTACGAGATTGAAATGGGGCGGGAATTTGAGAGTTGGGTTAGGGGTATGCAGACTTTTGTGCCTCGGATTCACTCAACGTCACTTCATATTTGAATTTTGGTGCACATTTGCTTCGTATCTTGTCGTGGAAATGTCAGTATGCTACTGTCCACATCCTTTGCAATCTACCAATCAAATTGGAGCAATTCAAATCACAAAATTGACGAAGGTACGGATGAAATCCGAATCGATGACCACACGGTATTCAGCCTTTTGTGACCCACTGTACGTGTTGGGATGCGTGGTTAGTGCTGGTAGGAAAATATGCATAATTTGACCTCAGGTGCATGATGGCAATGGTTCCAGAAATGGGTGTACGCCACCAAAACCATCTCGGGAAGAGGTCACGTGCTTTACCAATGCTCATGGTGGCTATCCATACTCGTGCAGCTTCACCGCAGGAATAGCATGGCGTGCGGAGGGTCTGTCGCCCTTGCCCACCCAGGTCGTATTCGTCGTGTATGTGCAACTGACTACACTGAACTTCGGAAAAAGTCGCTATGCATGAAGAATAAAATCAATGTATATATTGAAATTCCGTGAATTAGTCGAATTTGATTGGCTATAACTAGAAGCATTTCAGTCAGTCAATCCCAGTTTTTATTGCATCTGCACTGCAATTGGTCAAAAGGAATGGCATTTCGGACATGGTATGGTAGGTTACAGGTGACCGAAGGAAAATAACAGATCATGTTTTGGAGGTGGTTGGCTTTTTTGGGGGTGTCGGCATTTTCCGGGGTTCACTGCGTCAAATATCCATTCTTTTCATCTCAATGTCACCCCCGCAGCGTCGGATATTTTGCGAGAGCGACTTGACAAGCGACCTGCCCTTTGAGGATGGAGGTGAACGTGTCGAAAGAGAGAGAGTGCCGGGCAAACGCGCGAGAGATGCAACGCCGCCGGAATGTTTGGTTTTCATGCGTTTTGCATGTCGAACGAATGGCTTGCGTGGTCCTGAGCATGTTCACAAACACACCTGTTGACAAAACGATGAGGTTGCCGCGTGTTTTTGAGCACAGAGTGCGCGGCAGGGGTGCTGTGGTGCAAGGCACCACCTTAGAAACAAGTACCACAAGTCATCAGAACGATTATTGCTAACAGGCACCACTGTAGCCACCATCTTAGCCGCCTAGGGTCTGTATCACGACGCCTCAAGGATCATGGAATGTGATGCTCGTGACTTCTGGAGGTGCTGGTGGTTAAGCTGGTACGTAGTGGCTGTGCTAGCGTTTTTCAGGGTGGCGGAGGTGGACGAGGACATGCAGTTTAGTGGAGACAAAAGGGGAACTGACCGTGGCAGTGGTGCCTCCTTCATCATTGCCGTCCATGTACCCCCACCAACGCAGTAGTCTCCACAATTAAGGCTGAGTTCATGTTCTGACAGTGGTAAATAATCTGGTGGTGATTCGCTTTAGCGATCTTAGGTGGTGTGAGATGGGCGTGTCGCTGGTGGCCATTATGCGAAGTCGGCAGCGGATGGTTCCAACATAAGCGCCGCTCGCGCATGCAGCCGTGCAGTTCCAGGCGAGGAATCGCCCCCCTGGGTGAAGGCCCCGCGCGAGACAAGGAAGGAGGACGCCGACGGGGAGGCGGTAGGTGGCAATTGCAGTGGGGGAGGAGGTAGCTGTGTGTGGTTGTCGCGATGGTTGGGGTTGTGAAAGTGTCGAAAAAGATCATGCATCGCACATGGCTCGACAGCGAAGATGTGGTCATGGAGAGTGCATGAGTTGTAGTGTCTGCAGCGACCTTTGTGACAACGAACTTTCTTTCCCACCATCGCTACATCGTCGGCCACCACTACAAATCCCGCCACTGCCAAAACAGTCGTCGGCACCGTCACGATTGCATTTGGGCTATCGCAGGTTCCGTCGCAAGGTCCCTCGCAACCACCACCGTCGCCTTGGCAGTGTTTGGTGGGAGAGCGCACTCTTCACCACGCCAAGTTGTCGACAACAAAGTCCAAATCACAGACCTACTTCTCCTCTCGACTGTTGCTGACCGATCGATGGTGGCATCGGTGTAACGACTCCGGTACTGTTGCAGAGGAAAACTGGATCCGGATAGAAAGCCGGATAG